TTTTTTTTTTTTTTTTTTTTTTTTTTTTTTTTTTTTTTTTACCATATTTTATTATGTTGCATTTTGGGTCTGCTTTTGTTCATTTCTTCTTGTATAACTTTTGTGTGTATATTTTCGCATGTTTTTTGTGAAGAGTTTTGGTCTAGCTCTAAAATACTACCTAAACTTACTTCAGAACAGAAGAGGAATGGTCCAGTAAGTTTTCTCATTTTTCACCTTAGGTTGTCAGTCCTTTAGATTGTTAAGCATATGACCTTACATTTAATTGCCAAATCCAATACCTTTACTCTACTTACAGCGGTCAAAGATTATATCGTAAGCACACTGCTGTTAAAACTATCAAAAACACTGAAAAAAGGAATATTTATGAGGTGTTCCCTAAATAATCTTCAGCTTTTAATTTTTCTAGTAGTTTTAATCACTTTAGAGAATCTGATGAAAACTGTATTCCCCCCCCCCCGATGTGTGTGTAAGCCTTGTTTCAGTTATCTGTTGCTACTTATCATACCACCCCAAAACTTACTGACTTAAAACAGTTGTTCATTTTTTCTCATGATTACATGGGTCATGGACGGTTGCTGTGTTTCATGTGGTGTTATCTGGCTCATTCACATAGTTGCATTCAGCCGGATCGCATCTGGGGCTAGAATATCTAGGATACTCGCATTTACATGTCTGGGGTCTTTGTGGCGGCTATTGGGTGGGGTGCCCTGGTTGTTTTCCACATGACCTCTCTGAGGGAAAACAAGCTGCCAGGCTTCTTAAGAGATTGACCTGGATCTGGCACAGATTCCTTCTGTCACATTCTATTAATCAGCTCAATCAGAAGTCCAATGAAGATTTAAGGAGAGAGGAATAGGCTTTATTTCTTGATAGGAGAAATATCATGTACCTATAGAAATGAGGGAAATGGTTAGAAATTTGAAAATGCTCATAGTAGATTTGTCTTTGATTTCATATTCAAAAGGCAATGAATCTAATTCACTGTATCAATAGAATTAAAGAAAAACATGATTATCTCAACAGATGCATGCAGAAAGAGAATTTGACAAAATCTAACATCCATTTATTAAAAAACCTCCAAACTTTCAGCAGACTAGGAATAGAAGGAAACTTCAACAATCCAATAATGCATATCTATGAAGGGTGCCTGGGTGGCTCAGTAAATTAAGCATCAGACCCTTGATTTTGGCTTGGGTCAGGATCTCACAATTCGTAATATCAGGCCCCACATCAGGCTCCATGCTGATAGCACGGAGCCTGCTTGGGATACTCTCTCTCCCTCTCTCTCATTTTCATTCTCTCGTTCTCTCTCAAAATAAACTTTAAAAAGAAAGAACATCTGTGAAAAACTGAAAACTGACATCGTACTCAATCATGAAATATTTAACACTCCCTAAGATTGGAAACAAGACAAGGATATCTATTTTCACCCCTCTAGTCATCAAGAATGAACTCCTGCTTTTGATACTCTAAATTCTGTCTCTCAATTAAGCTAGATCGTCAAAGGCCAACTTGCCTGGACTGCACTGTATAAACTCAGGGTAGGATCACTTTTTTTTTTTTTTTTTTTTTTTTTGCTAGAATGTGCCCTGGTGTGATGCCACAGTCTATATTAAAAGATAATATAAATGACTTAGCAGTATGCTTATATAAACTACTGGTGGGAGTGAAAATTCACATTATCAAATAGAATCTGGCAGCACATTAGAAGAATACCATAACCAAAATTTTTGTACTGGAAAATGCAATGATGATCCAACATTAGGAAAGCTTTTAAAATAATTCATCATAATATGTTCAAGAAGAAAAATCATGTCAATCTCCAAATATTACTGAAAAGACATTTAATAAAATTCAATATCCTTTCTGATATTCTTAACATGTAAATAATATAAAATTCTTACCTTGATATATATTCTTCCATATATTGATAAACTTATAATATTTTTTGTTTATAATGTCTCAAGGCCAAAAGCTACATTCCAATTAAAGGCAGAAAAAGGATAGGGTAAGTATTGTTATTTTTTACTTTTAATTGAAGGAATTAATACACAGAGGAGAATTATAAAATTCATATGATAGTCTCAAGACTCAAGACTATAATATTTACTGTCAATTTTTGATTTTTTACATTAAAAATGTTTATTTATTTTGAGAGAGAGAGCATGAGTAGGGGAGGGGCAGACAGAGAGAGAGGGAGACACAGAATCCAAAGTGAGCTCCAGGCTCTGAGCTGTCAGCACAGAGCCCAACGTGGGGCTCGAACTTACGAACCTTTAGAGCATGACCTGAGCCGAAGTTGGATGCTGAACCGACTGAGCTACCCAGATACCCCTAATTTTTTACATTTTAATTATCTCAAGATTCTTAGAACCTCAGAGATTGAAGAGTAGTTAAAAATGTTTTAGGGAATGCAAACTGGTGCAGCCACTCAGGAAAATAGTATGGAGTTTCCTCAAAAAATTAAAAATAGAACTATCCTATGACCTAGCCATTGCAGTACTAGGTATTTATCCAAAGGACACAAAAATGCTGATTCGAAGGGGCACATGCACCTCAATGCTTATAGCAACACTGTCAACAATAGCCAAATTATGGAAAGAGTCCAAATGTCCATTGACTGATGAATGGATAAAGAAGATGTGTTATGTGTATATATATATATACACACACACACACACACACACACACAATTATATACATATACACACATACATATATATGAAATGAAATATTGAAACAATGAAATATTACTTGGCAATCAAAAAGAATGCAATCTTGGGGCGCCTGGGTGGTGCAGTCGGTTAAGCGTCCGACTTCAGCCAGGTCACGATCTTGCGGTCCGTGAGTTCGAGCCCCGCGTCAGGCTCTGGGCTGATGGCTCAGAGCCTGGAGCCTGTTTCCGATTCTGTGTCTTCCTCTCTCTCTGCCCCTCCCCCGTTCATGCTCTGTCTCTCTCTGTCCCAAAAATAAATAAACGTTGAAAAAAAAAAAAGAATTAAAAAAAAAAAAAAGAATGCAATCTTGCCATTTGCAACAATGTGGATGGAACTAGAATGTATTATGCTAAGTGAAATAAGTCAGTCAGAGAAAGATAAATATCATATGATTTTACTCATGTGGAATTTAATAAATAAAACAGATGAACATAGGGGAAGGGAAGGGAAAGAAAAATAAGGTAAAAACAGAGAGGGAGGCAAAGCATAAGAGACTCTTAAAGACAGAGAACAAACTGAATGTTCCTGGAGGGGTGCTGAGTAGGGGGATGGACTAAATGCGTGATGGGTACTTGTTGGGATGAGCACTGGGTTATATGTAAGTGATGAACCACTAAATTCTACTCCTGAAACCATTATTATGCTATATGTTAACTAACTTGGATTTAAATAAAATTAAAAAAATATTTTTAATGTTTTAATATTAACTCAGTTAAAAAGTGGGCAAATGTTAGTAGACATAGAGAATAGATTAGTGGTTGCCAGAGGTAGGGGGATGGGGTCAAAGGTGGTCAAAATGCATGAAGGTGGTGAAAAGGTACGAATTTTCAGTTATAAAATAAATCACTCATGGGAATATAACATGCAGCATAGTGACTACAGTTAACAATGCTATATTGCATATTTGAAAATTCTGAGAGCAAGTCTTAAAAGTTCTTTTTTAAAAAATTTTTGTTTTAATGTTTATTTTTGAGAGAGAGAGAGCGAGAGAGCGTGTGCGAACGCGTGTGCACGAGAGGGGGAGGGGCAGAGAGAGAGGGAGACACAGAATCCTTAGCTGGCTCCAGGCTCTGTCCAGGCTCTGAGCTGTCAGCACAGAGCCCAATGCAGGGCTCGAACTCACAGACCATGAGATCATGATCTGAGCTGAAGTCAGATGCTCAACTGACTGACTGCCCCAGTCTTGAAAGTTCTTATCACAAGAAAAAATTTGTCACTATGTAAGCTGACAGATACTAACTAGACTTATTGTGGTGATCACTGCACTATATATAAATATCAAGTAATTATGTTGTATACTTGAAACTACTATAATGTTATATGTCAATTGTATCTCAATAAAAAAGAATTATGCTAAAAAAAAGTGAACAAAAGACTTGAATAGACATTTATCCAAAGAAGATATCCAAATGGCCAATTTGCACATTAAAAGGTGCTGAACATCACCACTCATTAGGGAAATGCAAATCAAAACCATAATGAGATACCACCTCATACCCATTGAAATGACTATCATCAAAAAACAAAACAATAGAAAATAACAAATGTTGACAAGGATATGAAGAAATTGGAACTGTTATACACTGTTGGAATGTAAGATGGTGTAAACTCTATGGAAAAGAGTATGGCAGTTCCTCAAAAAATTTAAACATAGAATTACCACATGATCCAGCAATACCACTTCTGGATATATAACCGTAAGAATTAAGAGCAGGGTCTGGAAGAGATATTTATATACCCATGTTCATAACAGCGCTATTCACAAGAGCCAGAAGGTGGAAGCAACCATCATGTCCACAGATGGATGAGTGGATAAACAAAATGTGGTATATTCGTAGAATGGGATATTATTCAGACTTAAAAAGAAAGGAAATTCTGACACATACTATAACATGGATGAATGAACCTTAACGACATTATGCTAAGTGAAATAAGCTGGTCACAAAAAGATGTACCTAGAATAGTCAATTTCATGAAGACAGAAAGTAAAATGGTGGTTGCCAGAGGCTGGGGAGGGAGAAATGGGGAGTTATATGATGGGTATAGAGTTTTAGTTTTGCAAGATAAGGAGAGTTCTGGAGATTGGTTGTACAAACCATGTGAATGCATTTAATACTACTGACCTGTATATTTAAAATATGGTTAAGATGGCAAGTGTTATGCTATGTGTATTTTAGCACAGTTAAAAATAAACTAAAAAAAAAAAAAAGTATGTGTGTGTGTGTGTGTGTGTGTGTGTATAATATTTTGTGTTTAATATTTTGTAATTCCAATCTTAAAAATATCTTTTTAGGGGCGCCCGGGTGGCTAAGTTGGTTGAGTGTTGGACTTCAGCTCAGGTCATGATTTCATGGTTTGTGGGTTTAAGCCCTGCATTGGGCTCTGCCCTGGTAGCATGGAGCCTGTTTGGGATTATCTCTCTCCCTCTCTCTCTACCCCTCCCTCGCTTACACGCACGCACACTCTGTCTCTCTCAAAATAAATAAATAAACATTTTAAAAATCTCTTTATAGATTTATAAAATTTATTTTAAATTTATCTATAGCACTGTATTTTATGTTGAAAGCAGTTTGTAATTGAGAAAATGTAATAATACTCAAAAGTTTAAAGTCTCATTCCTGACGCTTTACAAACTGTTTAAAAATGCTGAGTCATCTTCAGTCTGTTTCTGTTTGTGTTCTATTTATTATCCATTTATTCATTTTTTTTCCAGTTTATTTTTTGTTCTGTGTTTATTTGGATAATTTTTACTGTTTTTCTTCAATTCATTAATCTTTTTCTATGGTGTCTAATCTACTGTTAAACCCATTTGGTATCTTTTTTATCTCAGATTTTTCATCTCTAGAATTGGATTTTCCTCCATATCTCTACTTAAAACTCATCCACTTTCTTGAATATGTAATATAATTCTAACTTTTAAGGTTTTTGTATACTAAAAACATTAATTAATTATTAATTTTATTTATTCTAATATAAATAATTTCAAAAGTATAAATATTACTAATAATATGATTACTGAAAATGGCTATGTTCTTTTGGATGTCCTTTTTTGGGGATAGATCTCACTATGGATGTACAAGCAAATTACCGTGTGTTAAAGTCAGGTGAAATAGGGCACATGGGTGGTTCAGTTGGTTAAGAGTCTGACTCTTGATTTTTGCTTAGGTCATGATGTTAGCGTTTGTGAGATCAAGCCCCACATCAGGCTCTGTGCTGATGGTATGGAGTCTGCTTGGGATTCTCTCTCTCCCTCTCTCTCTGCTTCTCCCCCACTTGTGCTTTCTCTCTCTACTCTATCTCTCGAAATAAATAAACTTACAAAAAAATAAAGTCAGGTGAAATAATTCTGAATTAACTCTGTAGTTAAGCTACAACTTGATGCATGGTTATATTCATTTGTTTCATTTTGCTTTTAATTTTTAGAGATTTTTCCACCTTGATTTAATACCTTATTATAATATGTATAATTATGTAATTAAAATTATGTAATATAATTACATGTTTCTTTTTAAAAATTTTTAATGTTTATTTTATTATTTTTGAGAAAGAGCATGAGCGGGGGAGGGGCAGAGAGCAAGAGGGAGACACAGAATCTGAAACAGGCTCTAGGAGGCCCTGAACTGTCAGCACAGAGCCCAGTGTGGGGCTCAAACCCACAAACTGGGAGATCATGACCTGAGCTGAACTTGGACACTCAACCGACTGAGCCACACAGGCACCCCTATAATTACATGTTTCTATACAACAAATACAGTTTGGTTAGACCATGTTCCCTCCCCTGCAGGTAACCATATATTTTTAGTTTTTGGTTTATACTTTGGTTGTTTTTAAATTGTGGTGAAAATATATATATATAATATATAATTTTATAATACATGATTTACAATATATATAGTACATATAACTTATATAATATATATATTATATAATATATAAGTATAATATATACTTATATAATATATAATATATAAGTATATATTATACATTATATACTTATATATTATATATTATACTTATATATTATATAATATATAAGTATATATTTATATAAATAATATTTATATATTTATATAATATATATTTATAAATATAATATATAATATAAATATATTTAAATAATATAACTATAAATATACATAATATTTATATAATATTTATATAAAATATATATTATATAAATATATAATTATATTATATTTAATTATAATTATATATAATTTATAATTTTAACACTTTTATTTATTTTTATTGATTTATTATTTTTAGAAAAGATTTTATTTTTTTTAAGTAATCTCTTTACCCAACGTGGGACTTGAATTTAAAACCCCAAGATCAAGGATTGCATGCTCTACCAACTGAGCCAGCCAGGCGCCCCCATTTTAACCCTCTTGAAGTACAATTTAGTGGCATTAAGTACGTTCTTATTGTTGTACAACCATCACCACTATTCATCTCCAGAAAACATTTTTTAAGTTTATTTATATTAGTAATCTCTACACACAACTCATGACCCCAAGATCAAGAGTTGCAGGCTTTTCTGACTGAACCAGTCGGGTACCCCCAAAACTTTTTTGTCATTGCAAACTGAAACTCTGTATCTCTTTAGTAATAACTTCCTATTGGGGCTCCTGGTTGATTCTGTCCAACTCTTGATTTCGGCTCAGGTCATGATCTCATGGTTTGTGAGGTCGAGTCCAGAGTCAAGCTCTATGCTGACAGCGTAGAGCCTGCTAGGGATTCTGTCTCTCCCTATATCTTTGCCCCTCTCCTCCCATCGCCTCTCAAAATAAGTAAACTTAAAAAAGAAAAATTTCTGGGGCACCTGGATAGTTCAGTCAGTTAAGCACCCTACTCTTGGTTTTGGCTTAGGTCATGATCTCACCGTACGTGAATTTGAGCCCTGCGTTGGGCTCTGTGCAGCTCAGAGCCTGCTTGGGATTCGGATTCTCTCTCTGCTTCTCTCTCTCTCTCTCTGCCCCTCCCTCAGCTCTCTCTTTCTCTCTCAAGATAAATAAATAAACTTAAAAAAATTAAAAAACAATTCCTATTATATTCTTCCCCTTAGCTCCTGGTAACCACCATTCTACTTTCTGTCTCTCTGAATTTGATTGTTGTAGTTAACTCATACAAGTAGGATCAGAAAATATTTGTCCTTTTGTGTCTGACTTATTTCACTAAGCTTCATGTTTTCAAAGTTTATCCATTTGGAGTATGTGTCAGAATTTCATTTTTTTAAGGCTGAATAATATTATATTGTATGTATATACTACATTTTGTTTATCCATTCATCCATCAATGGACTTTAGGGTTGCTTCCATCTTTTGGCTCTTGTGAATAAAGCTGATATGACACAGGTACACAAATATCTGAGTCATTGCTTTAAATTCTTTTGGGTATATATCCAGAAGTGGAATTCTTAGATAATATAGTAATTCTATAATTTTTTTTTTTAGGAACTGCCATACTGTCTTCATATTTTTTTAAATGTGTATTTATTTTAAGAGAGACAGAGAGGGCATGAACAGGGGAGGATGAGAGAGAGAGAGAGAGAGAGAGAGAGAATCCCAAGCAGGCTCCACACTTTGAGTATGGAGCCTGACAGAGAGCTCAATCCCACCAACCGTGAGATCATGACTTGAGCCAAAATCAAGAACCATGGGCTTAACCAACTGAGCCACCCAGGGGCCCATTAATTGTTTAAAAAATTTTTTTTAATGTTTATTTGTTTTTGAGAGAGAGAGATCAGGGGAGAGGCAGAGAGAGAGGGAGACAGAGCATTTGAAGTGCTGTGCTGACAGCAGAGAGCCTGATGCAGAGCTCAGACTCACTATGAGATCATGACCTGAGCTGAAGTTAGACGCTTAACTGACTGAGCCACCCAGATACCCCCAATTGTTTTTTCAATCACACAGAAAATAGGGGTGCCTAGGTTGAACGCCCCACTCTTGGTTTCAGCTCCGGTCATGATCCCAGGGTCATGGGATCGAGCACCGAG